TGAAACCCTCAGGATAAGCAATCCTGGGGCCAGATGTAGAGGCCGATGCAGGGGCGGGCTCCGCTGCTGCCCGCACAGTCGCTGGCGGTGCGTTTGGAGAACGCACGGTTACAGGGCGAGCCGCCTGTGCGGGCTGAGTCTCCCCGCTTCTTATGCGCCTAGCAAGGGGAACCTCATCCTCTTCGCTCTCCGTCCCCTCGCGTGCACGTCTGCGCGCGCCCGGAGCTGCAACCTCAGCTCTGTGATCCGCTTGCGGCCTTGACGACGAGCTGGATCCCCTGTGTGACGAACCACGTGACTGAGGCGCTGGGGGTGGCCGCTCGTCAAATCGCATCTGCCTGGGTTGCCCGCTGCTAGCCCCGCGACCTCGTGAGGCTTCGGCATGTTGTCGTTGGCGCTCTAGGATGCTGCTCATTTCTCCTGCACAAAAAAATACATAAGCCTCAGCTCGGCTAGAATCCATGTTATATAATGAAAATATACCTTCGCTGAACAGGTTTGTCACATCGACAAACCCGAACACGGCGAGCTGCTCCGAGGTAACCAGGGCTTCTAAATCTATAAGACCCTCCCCCTGCGCATACTGAAGCAGCTGGTTCTTCAGATCGACATCCCGGGGCAGCAGCTGGGGGTAGTTGATGTGGGCGTTTGGTGTGCGCCACTCAGACAGCCAGGTAGCGAGGTCGTTGCTTATCCCTTCTGCTCGCATGTCGCGAACAAAAATAAACTGTTTCTTCCACCTCGCCACCTTGTTCCTCACATTTTTGAAGAGCTGGCTCCTATCCCTCTCAGAGAGGTAATACCACCTCGCTCCTTGTGAGTTCGGACACAGCCGGCACTGGAATAGCGATCTGAACACTATCGCTTTGGCTGGTACCTCTAGTCGCGCACACAACAGCATAAAGCCAATAATGAACCTTATGTTGTTGGGCGTTAGCTGCGTCAACGCTAGCTCGTATTCCGCGAGCAGATCGAATATCAAGCCGGGCAGAGGAAACCGCAGGCCGACGTCGAAGTGGTCCGCATACACTGGTATCCAGCCCGTCGGTGACACTGTGCATGCCCTTTCGTTCTACCCGCCCGTCCGCAGCAGTATAGTCTTGGGGATGTGGTACACCCTCACCATCTCCTCCAGCCTTTTATACCCACTTATGGAGGGTGCACAATCTGCTACTTCGTGGTGAAGTGCAGCCTTGAACTTGAATCCGGCGGGCAGGTCCTTCGGTGCCTTTCGCAAATTGCTCAACCTGCTCGGGATGGCTCTGCTCTCCCATTCATCCATTACAGGCCGATCTGAGACAGGACTCACAACGTCCCTTACCCCCTCCTCGCGGCTTGGTGTCTCTTCCGTAGACGAGCTGCTTGACGATGCACTAGGGTGGTCGTCACCGTTGTCTCTGGCGCGGGAACTGGCGCTGCTCTCAAACGCCACTGTTTCCGGTACATCCTGCAACTCCGGTGGCACATCATAGTGATAGGCTCCACGGCTAAAACCCCTTCCTCCTCTCCTTCTCTGCCCTGGTTATCTTGTTGCTCTGTGAGTTCTCGTAGTGAAACCATTTTTACCTAAAACTAATGTGAAGTCGATTCGGTGTGCTGTTCTTCAAGATTGGAGTCGCCTTGCTTCAGAGAATTTCAGAGGATTTCAAGCAAATGCAAGAGTGAAAATGGCAAAGGGAACGGTTACGAAAGAAACAAAACCAAAATGACCATATTAAACGCAGTACGCGTGTCTCCGACACGCCAATAGGCATCCCACACGTGATAGGCGTTTAACTGCCTTTTGCATAACGTGCGCCGCCTCTGGCTGTCACGTTCCTCAAACGCTGCGCCAGCATTTATGGCGAGGAAGATAAAGAGATACGGAAGAGCAAACGTATCTCCTCAGAGATCTGGTTAGATACGGTTGGTTTAAAAATCCCCAAGATTCAAATCGTCCGGGAATCAGGTCGCGCAAACGTGTCTCCTCAGAGATTCGAAAATCCACCAGGACTCAGATCGTCACTGCTGATGTGTACCCTATACTGTCGCATCAGCTCGCCATTGCGAGCACACCTACCTGGTCGTCACAAACATGACATTTGGCCAGATCGGCTCAACCGTAACAATTCAGCTCGTCACACACTGTGACGACAACCACATTCGTCAGGACGTCACTCGAATTGCAGCTTGCACAAATCAAGGGGTTCCCCAGGTCGCCCTATTGGACAACACCACTTGGGCGGGCTGATAAAGTGCGGTCAAAAATCTCAAGTCGCACTGAATATGAGGTCGTGTCGCTTCACCTCGTGATCATAGCTCACTGAGCGTCACCTGATCGCACTTCGGTAGTACTCAAAGGTCAGACCGTCACAAGGACGAGCTGATCGGGCGATACATCACACGCAAGTTCGCCTGTTGCAAATCACTTCAGCTCGCCGCTATAACGAACCCACACTAATGTGGCTATGAATACCAGCTCGCCCACACGTTTTCAGGCTTGCGAGCTCGCCTCTTCTTGTTCTACCCTTCAGCTCGGCCCTCGTCGAGGTCGGCCGCAAGCTGTCAACCCGTTTGGAATAGGCCCAGCCCAACACCCAAACAGTACTGGGCTATGGCTAACAACGTTGGCTCATGGCTACATCCATTCCAGTTCGTCAACCGAACGCTGGGGGGGGAGTAATGTTGGAATAGGCCCAGCCCAACACCCAAACAGTACTGGGCTATGCATAATGGGCCTAGATTACCACTTGGGCTGCTATGCATAATAGGCCAGATTACCACCTGTTAGCCCAAGCTGAGGGAGCATCAGTACAAGCATACCCACGTGACCAATGCCAAGTGGATCAATGGGAGGATAACACGTGTAGATGTATGTCAGCACCAAAGGGCTATAAATACCCCCCAACTACCTCAATGAAGGTAATTAATCTCTACGCTTCTCTCTCTGCAATTACTCCTTGAGAGCA